TATTAATGTTACTATCTCCTTTTAGTATTATTTTTATTGTTTCATTTGAAAAGTTACATTTTTTGTTTCATTAGGGTTGTTTTATATTATTTTTATTTTTAAATTTTAATTTGGTGTTTAAAAAAACTCCTTGTAGTTGTTTAACTTGATTATTATAGATTTTAACTTTGTTTTCAGGGACTGTTCGTTGTTTAAATTTATTAGCGATTCGTTTCTAGAAATTATTTTGTTAAATAAATAGGGACCACAATGTTTTATTGAAAATTTGAGAATTTAGTTTTTTCAAAGGGTATCTTAAAGTTTCCCGTTGCTCTTGTATTGTATTTGTTTACGTTGTTTTCAAAAAAGTGTACTGTAAAATGTTCTGAAACCAAACTTAGTTTATATTTAAACATAAAAAGTATATTTTGATAAATATTAATTTGAAAAATATTTAAAGCGTTCATTTGCTCCAGTAGGGGTTGAGCATGAGTAAGTTTGTTTTTGTTGAACACTAGTCTTGAAGCGTGCTTTTGACGCAGATAAAGCGGTTTTAATTTAGTTATGTGGGTACTGCCCCTTGCTTTATTGGCATACATAAGATAGTTATGTATGAATGAAAAATAAACGAGTATTAGACTTTTTTGTGTCAAGAAAGATCTTGCCTTATAAAGTAAACCTATGTTCTTTGATATTTTTGTATTTATATAGTTGATGTGGGGCTTCCAAGAGATGTGTTCATCAATTAGAACACCTAAAAACTTTGTGTTTTGAGCTCTTTCGATGATTATATTTTTTATATTAATTGTTGGTAGGTTAAGGGGAAGCTTTTTAATTTGTTGAGTAGAGTGGAATAGAATATATTTTGTTTTATCTATATTGAGTGATAGTTTGTTTGATTTAAACCATATATTAATTTTTTTTAGTTCATTATTTGTTTTTTCTAATAAGTCTTCAATAGTCTTTGATGAGTAAAATAAGTTTGTATCATCGGAAAACATTATAGTTTTGAAAATATTAGAGGCATTTGGGAGATCGTTTATGTAAATAAGAAACAAAAGAGGAACAAGAATGTATCCTTGGGGTACACCACATTTTGTTTTCAGTAAATTCGAGTTACTTTTTTTATCTATAATAACACACTGGTGTCTGTCATTAAGGTAGTTTTTAAACCAAGTTAAAGCTTTATTTTTAACGCCATAATTTTCCATTTTTGTCAGTAAAATCTCATGGTTGATAGTGTCAAACGCCTTTGACAAATCAATAAAGATTCCTAACGTGATTTTTTTTTGTTTAAATGATTTACTAGTCCTATTTGAGAGATCAAGGATTGCATGCTCTGTTGCGTGTCGCTTTATTAATAATTTTATTAGTTTTTAAATATTTATTTAATTTATTGTAGATAATTCGCTCAAGACGTTTTGCGAATACCTAAAGGATTAAAATAGGTATATAATTGTTTAAAGAGTTGGCTTCTCCTGATTTATAGATTGGTATAATTTTTGAGATTTTAAGCAAATCAGGTACGATACCTGTTGTAACTGATGAGTTAAATATTTGGTAAATAGGATTACGTATTTCCTCAAAAACATCTATCACTACTTTGCAAGAGATATCATCAATTCCTGGGGACTTGATTTTAAGTGATTTCTTAGCTATCTCAAGTTCGTCTTGGTTTAGTTCGTTGAAATTTAAGGAGCAGTGTGAGCTTGTTAAGTAATTTTTAAATGAATTGTTTGGTCATTGATTTTTTGATGCAAGATCAACACCAATATTGGCAAAGTAGCTGTTGAATTCATTAGAAATATCACGCTTATTGCTTGATTCCTTTTGATTAATTATTATTCTAGAAGGAATTTTTTAAAAATTAGTTATACCTTTACCAATTATTTCCTTCATAATGCCCCATGTCTTTTTTAAGTCTCTATTAAATTTTTGCATTTGGTTGGAATAATATAATATTTTATGTTGTTTTTTTTAATTTTTTCAAATAAGTTTTTGTATTGCTTGTAGAGAAATAAGTTGGCTTCGCTTCTATTTTTTAAATATTTTATGTAAAGTTTTTGTTTTTGTTTTGAGGATTTTCCTATTTCTTTTGCTATCCAAGGACAGTTTAAATATTTCGCTTTTATTTCTTTTTCTTGAATTGGAAAACTCTTATTATATTGTAGCATAAATAAATTAATAAATTTAATGTACGCAGAGTTTGTGTTTCCTGAGTTACATTCTCGGTAGACTTTGTGCCAATTTGTTGCCGATAGCAAGTACTTAAATTTTTGAGTAGATGTTTCATTGATAATTCTTTTATAAAACAAGATTTTTGAATTATCAAAAGTAGATTGGAAAGTGATCTGAGATGTCTGTTTTTATTATTCCTGATTTTAGAGAAGTATCTTGTATTGAGTTTGTTAATATATTATCAATGGCAGTAATAGAATTGGAAGTTACCCTTGTAGGTTTGTTGATAATGGGGAAGATATTAAGCTGAAACATGTCGTCAAAGAAATTTTTAGTAACCGCATGTTCGTTGTACTTTAAGATATTTATGTTTATATCTCCATTTATGATCAATTTTTTCTGTTCTCTATTTTTTGTTATTAAATATTTCATTTCGGCTGCCTAGGCTGGACATAGGTAAAGACGGGGCTGGTTACATACCAAATCATATTGCATTATCATTAGGAGAAAGTTACAAAAATCTATGAAGAAAGTATTCTTAAAAAAAGAAACGAAATCAGAAAATTATTCTGCTAGTGGTTTATAGAATGGTAACAGTTTTACAATTTTTTATAAAAAAAAAAAATTTCATGTTTTTTTTTTTTTTTTTTTTTTTTTTTTTTATGTTCTTTTAAAGCTAGACTAGATAAACATTTGTTAACGGCTGTTAAAGTATAAATTTTAAACTTTATACTCCGCGACAATCGTCGTTACAGCAATTTGTATTACTACTATTACTATTACTATTACTTTTTATTTATTCAAAATAACTATTACAATCAAATAAAAGAAATAAGAAATGTATACAAATAAAAATTACAACTTTTGTTAAATATAAAAAAAAGAAGAACTTGCAGAAGATCTAATGATCTTGTCATCAAGAACCGCTTACAACTGACAATCATTTCGTATTTAAAAACAATTTCGTAATGTATATAAAATAAATAAACGAAGCCTAATAAAGTTTTTAAAATAAAAGTTAGAAGTAAAAATTAATGTTTTGCATGAATATATAAAATGCAAAATGAGTAATATAAAATGTATAAATCAACATGTTACACAAGCCGGTTAAAACAAAGTTAACAAAACTAAATTTAAATATACAAGTATGTGATCAAACAAATATTTTAGATATAAGAATTCGTATAAACATAAATAAATCAAAGTAATTAAAATTAAAAATATACAAGTATGTTTTCAGTAGAGAGAATAATGTTTTTTAATTTTCTTTTAAATGCAAAGTTTCTAATAAAAAATTTTTTTAAAGTGTAAATTTTATTCATTCTTTAATTTTATTTTATATTTTCTGAAAAATATTAATTATCTTTTAACGTATTTAGAGGCCATCCATAAAGGACGTCACTATTTTTTAGCCAATTTTTGACGCCCCCTCCTTTGTCACCAGTTGTCCTTTTCCCCTTTACCACCCTGGAAAAGGACGTCATAAAATCCTGACTTCCTCCTTATTTTTAACTCCACAAAAATTTATTTCATCTTGCAATGATGTTTGAATCTGCTGCTACACCTTTGAAAAATAAAATTAAAAATATTCTTATACATTATCTTCTCAAAAACACATGTTTACATAATTTTCCATGTTAATTAAACTAAAATAAAAAATCTATAAAGTGACGTCCTTTTCTGACAACCTCCCCCCCCCCCCTCTCCTTGTCCTTTTTTGTCCTTTTAACTCGACCTCCTTCCCCCCTCCCCCACACACCATTTGGATGACGTCTTTTATAGAATGTCCCTTAACTCTTTTGCACAAAAATGATTAAAAATCATTTTTGTGCAAAACAATAGTTTAATATTATGTTAATAGTTCATAATATTATTTTCTGAATGTTCGGAGTCAATAGCTTTTGCAAAACCTTTAGAATTTTTTGTTTGACAAAAAATTATGATTATGTATAATCAGCTATTTACGTTTCTTTTTTTAAATTTGAGTTAAAAAGTAAGTTTATTTGAAAATGATGTTTCATCGCAATAATTTAAACAACTTAATTTTGCAGGGGATCTGCATTCTTAAACTTTTTATGTTTTGGCTTTTAGGATTGTGCCAATTGTTGAAAACAATTCTTTACGCAACTCAGAAATTTATTTGTAAGTTTAAAAATCGAACTTCATAAAAATTGCTTAAAACAATTTGTGTCTTCATGAGCTATTTATTGTTATTATTATTATTATCATTATTATTATTGCTATTATTGTTATTATTGCTATTATTGTTATTATTGTTATTATTGTTATTATTGTTATTATTGTTATTATTGTTATTATTGTTATTATTGTTATTATTGTTATTATTGCTATTATTGTTATTATTGTTATTATTGTTATTATTGTTATTATTCCTATTACTAGTATTATTGTTATTATTATTGTCTTTAGTTTACAAGGATTATTTTTATTATTATTGTCTTAAGTTTAAAAGCACCACTTGTATGAAAGTTGTGCTTGTAAACTTAACGTAAAAATCAAGTGGGTAATTTTTCAAGTCAAAATTACTCTTGAAGGAAGAAAACGGTTTGCAGTTTGCTTACAACAGAAGCAAGACTGGTTGGACAATAGTTAGAAGAATCAAAGCAATCTCTAAACAAAAACTACAATCCTCATTTTTCAGCAAAAAAGAAACAAGATTCAGTTAAAAACTTTTTAAATTTATTTTAAAAGTATTATAGAGATTTTTGGAGAGCATTTGCAAGACCAAGACGGAAATGTTGCTCAGACCACAGGCTGTTGAAAAGTAAACGCAGTGCCACTCAAGTAACGGAAAAAAACAAAAAAGTAAAACAACAAAAATA